TATAAAGCGTACACAGGCCTTCGAGCGTGGAAAGAAATTTAAAGTCGATTAGGGAAACCTACATATTTCGGCAGAGCAGATCACATGCACAAAATTCAGACAAGAATGCAGAAAAAGAACGTTGGGAAATATTCATTCGCGAATCGAACTATTAGAGACTGGAACATGACAATCTTCGATACTTTTCCTCAAAGCTTGAGCAAATTTAAAAATAAAATGGTTTCCTGAATGTCGATATGTGTATTATAAATATATTTAATATTATTCAGTGTAAGTAACTGTATTTTATGTAATCATGTATTATTATTATAATTACTATTAATTACATGCAGTGCAGTGGCGTTGTGAAACTGAGGGAAACGACTGAGTAAGAAAGACATTACAGTTCAGTGATTCGCAGTGCGGTGAAGTGAAGTGTGAAGTGGAGTGCTATGAAAGATTGCACGGCGAAATGTTCACGTTTATTTGTAAAGTTTGTAAATTTTGGGAAGTTGTTAAGTTCTGTAATGTTAAGTTAGTGTATTCTGCCACCAAGTTCTGAAACTTAATTGCAGAATTATTAATAAATCTAATATGTGGTAGTGTAGTGCACGTAAGTGTAGGAGTGATGATAGAGCAAAAAAGAGGAAGGAAAGATTGCGAGCTGACTGTAGACAGGGTACTTCTCCGGTAATCTCCTGGTACTGTTCGAATAAAACAAAATCACGAAACAATACAGAACAGAGCAGCCGGCAGCTCAAATCGATCCAGCTACCTAGCTGTGTCGAAAATCCTGCCACCGTCGGGACTCTAACCCAGTCCTCCCGATCAGAGGCACAACAGTGACATCAATGAGTGAGTCGAAGCGCTGATCTATGCATTACCGAAGAAAAAATCTACTCTTCTCCGATACCAACGACGAAAAACGCAAATTTGTGACGTGACGGAATCGGATGCATATTACTACCGCCTCCGATCGCGCCCGACATCGCAATCTGGCGACCAGAATTGCAGTGTTCGCAAACGATCTCTCGAGTCTTCAAGTCTTGGCATTGTGGGTAAAGTTTCTGTGACATACAGGCGTTGGTATTATTATATTACGAAATTGGAAAATTAAAAAAAACCTTTCTACGGGAATCTATGCTGAGACTTAAACGTTAAAGTAATATTTGATTGCTAATATTTTGAGTCACACACTGGTGTGTTTTTCGTTGCTCACGTGAGATGACTTATGTCCTGTAGATATGTGTCAGTTGAAAATACAACTTTCGCCTGAAGTAAAAAATCGACAATGTTGGTTGCAAGGCAAGAGGAAAATTGTTCATTTCGTAGAAATAGCGATAACAGTACCGCCGAGGGATTTTCTAACAAAAATAATTTCACGCCAATTATTATTAAAACAGCCGTAAAATCACGAAACATCCACGCATTTTAATAAATATTTTTCTGAAATAGCCAAACATCTGCTGTTTCTAATCGTTTTATGTCAAAGTTCTAATCCCATTTTTTATTAAAAAATATAAATATGGAAATTATACGAAACAACTTTGACATAGTTGCATGATTTTCCTTTTTTGCATACCACTTACACAGAATAAAATAAGTACTGTCCTGCAGTAAAAAAAGAACACATCTTTTATATAAAAGTATTACAAATGTTTGTTGGTTAGCTGATACTTAATGCTCTGCCGTACCATCCATCTGATAGCAATAAAACTTTGTCAACTAATTGCTTGCATTTGTGGAAACAATATAGGCATAGTACGATGGGAATGTGCATATGCTTGGGCACGTAGACGCGCGTTGATTTTATGCTGAACCAAGCGCCCCTGTCCATTCTCTCTATGCAACGCGCAGCACCCTGAAGTATTGTCTTCCCCTGCGACGTGAAATAACGCCCGAGACAGAAGCAGACATACACGTAGAGAGAGGAGAGAGAAACAGACGGACAAGGTCAGTAAAAGAGAATGAGATGGAGGGCATGACGTCGGCCGGGTTCTGCTAGTTGGATTAAAAAAAAAAATTCCAGTTCCTGTATCGAAATTGGATAAGTCTGGTTCTTTTATGAAGCAAATAACTTAATCACGTGTACTAGTCAGAATCCACGCTGTGGTCCTCACTGCATAAAAATTGTTTTACTGCAAAACATGTTTTCGAATAACTCTAGCTGCTAAACCTAAGGCAGGATTTCAACCAAAATTCATACAGTACCCTGATCGCTCGTATGTCGTGGTCCCTGGAATTTGAAACGGATATTTTGATTTTTGGCTGCACATTAAATAAAACTTCACTGTTTTCAAAATGTTCTCAATATTTTTTCTTACCAGAAGAATACTGATAAAAATAGCAAATGCACAATATCGTTAAGTTTTCTGAATTTTCAAATAGAGGCTCTTTTTTTCTCTCTTCTAAGTCTATCTACAACTATTGGCGATAGCGATATTTTCTTAGTGAAATTTGTTCAAAATTAAATCTTTAAATTAGTCTATAAACAATTTTTTACTTTCTCGCTTTATTTCAGAAGAACAAAGTGTTGAGTCTCAAATCGGCGATTCTTCGACGGAAAAGCATTTGTTGCCGGGCTCTGGTATCCAAAAAGTGGATAAATCTCGTTCCTGCATGTTTACTACATTTATTACTTCTAACATGTCGTGCAGCCAAAATCCATGTTTTGTGGGACCCAGATACTGAAAAATCAATTGACGGCAAAACAACTGAACGTTAGCACCTAAATCGTTCAATTTTATCCAATATCGATCTGAACGAACTCTAGGTCCTGCGAGTTTGAAAGGAATATTTTGATTTTTGAAGGGACTTTACATAAAGTCTCAAAATTTCAAAATGTTCACAAAAATTGTTCCAATTTTTATTTTTTTAATATTAAACTTTGTCCCCGGATTAGAGTAAAACCTCTCAAAAGCATGGCGCATTTCTCATTTTCGTTGAAATCCCTGATTTTTTTAATTATTGCGAAAGTTCGAAATTTTATTCGGCGTCTTCTTGCAACTACAATATACGAGATGAGATTTACTTTATGAAACCTGTTCTTCAAAGGCAGGTGTTGAAATGTCATGTTCAATTTTTCGAAAATGTGCGTTTTCGCGTAATATGAAATATAGGCAATTTGAAACAATTATTTTATTTCAAAAAAGCTTTCAAAATTTGTTTAAATTTTCTCGTATGTAACAAAAGGCGGTACGAAAACTGGTGCTGGTCCCATATTCAGTAAACACTATTTCCCAAAATTGCAACAAAAAAACAACACTGCAAAATTACAAAATTTAAGTTTTCTTCGAAAATGAAATGTTCTAAAAAATCAATCTCTAAAAAAGGTAATGTACAGCAATTTTCACATAATTTGTGCTTACGTTAATGCAATTTATAAAAAAATACGTTTTCTCAAAAACCGCTGCAAATATTTTCTTTAAAATTTCCCCAGAGAAAAGGACGTTTCAAAACATACCGCATGTCTGATTTTCGAGAATTGCAAAATTTGGAAATATTGCTAGAAAGATTTTGCTGTTGCAGCACCTCTAGTTTCAAAACACGAGTTTTTTTCGCAAAGTTTGCGATGAAAAAAATAATTAACTTACTGCCAATTTTCTCAAAACTGCTCGACTTTTCTATAATTTTTTTTTAGATATTGGGAAGTTTGTTTATAAAAATGGCATATGGACGTTTTCTTTGAAGACACTAAATTTTCGAAAATTGCAAATGATGCGAAAAAGTATACGATGTGTGGTCACTATTAAGGGGTCATCCCCATTACGTAACATTAAAGGGGGACGGGGTTTGAGGCACAGTTACGTGGGAGTATTGGGTGTTAGTTTACCGTTATGTAACATTGTTATATTTTATTTCAACCTTAAAATACCTTTTTCAATATAAATAAATTTGTTGTGTAAATTGTTGGCATTTGCAATAAATGGAAGTATAAATCATGTTTTAATTGAATCTGTAAATTACAAAGAAAATATTCAAAACTGATCCATCTTATATTTTAGAAACCAATAAGATTGGTGCAGTACAGTTCGTACTCTTGCTCATGCGTCATCCACAACTTGTACTTTTCTTGTAGTCGGAAATTTTCATGCCTGCTAGTCCTTGTTCACACTAGTACCAAATCTTATTAAGTCTACTCAGCATCACAAATTAATTCGGACTTTGTTACCAAAAATTTTAAAATACAACACCAATAAAATTAATACAAATTGTTTTTACTGTGATATAATTTATTTTTACGTTTTGTGAATAGGAAGGGATGTTGCAAACATTACATAATTATTTAGGGGGATTCAAGCGTGCGTTACGGGGATGTGTTACAGGGAGGAGAGGGGGTATTCAAAATGCTCCAAATTTGCGTTATGTAAATTATGGACGGCCCCTTTATTGTTTTAGGCAATTTATTGATAATGCTTTAAAATTTGAAAATTTCATTGCAAGAATATAAGAATGTTTAAGGAAAATAATCCTTTTTACTGCAATTACTCAATTTTTTTGAGGAAAAAAACCTCCTGGCAGCAAGAGTATCGCCATTTTAATCAATTCGAAAATTCATTACCCTTACTTTTTTAACCCATAGATTTTTATCTCAAATAAATAAATAAAAGAGATTGTACCGTTGGAATTGAAAACTGGCAATGCAAACACAAACTTCTTTGCACTTGTAACTATTGTTATTGCAAATTCATGTTAGCACTTTAAATAAGTGTAAAGCCCAACTTATGAAAAGTAATTGACAACTTAGCTATTGAGAATTCCCTTTAACAATTTCTTTGGTTTAAAAAGGAGTGTTTTGCTTCATTTGAAATATAAATAATAAACATGGCTCTTTTAGTATAATACAGAGACCTCAGAAAAAAATGTGGTTTCTCTTGTTCACGCAAAAGTTAACTCTTCTCCACAAAAGGAGAATAAATGAACACAAAACAATATAAATGTTACCATCTGGAATTGAGACTTTTACCTTTTTTCTTTTACGCTCAACATAATAGACCAAAAAAAAAAATGTGCAAAAGACATAAAAACAAAAATATTTAATGACTACGTAGATACATGTTTTCAAATTATTACATGCTCCTTTAACAACTAAACTCGAGTGTTCAAGACAAGTACATTTCATTTTCAAGACAAGTTAAACAAATACACTGTATCTACTTGGAATATTTCCACATTTATCCCACAACAGTGAGCAGGACATTAAGGCATTACAATAACAGACATTTAAAAGTAAATTTACATAGAAAAAAATGAACACAAATACAGTGAAACCTGCTCAAACAGACACCTTGTTTATGCAGTCATCTCCACTAACAACTTTTTTTTGTGGAACTGATTGATTTTTCCATTAGCTATGAGTAAATATTATCTCTTTTCAGTGGCCAGACATTTCTTAGATCGACCTTTCTTAAGAGACCATGTCAAGTAATTTTGGACTATTATAAAAGAAGTGGAAAAATTGTGATTACTGTTGATTTAATGTTTTCCTTGATACACTGTCATATTACTTTGAATTTTGAAATCCAGAGTTGCTTATCTAACAAAGGGGATTACTTTCTGTTTCAGGCATTACATTCATTTCCTCCATTTTGCATGACTCTGATCAAAACGTTTACGTAACGAAGGTGCAAAACAGCTGATTCACACACAAGTCAAGTTTGTTGTCTGAGTGTAGCAAGCAAGAGACGAGCCTGAGGATCACCTCGCACCCGTGTGTGTATCTTTTAAACATGTTTGCGAGCGAAATGCAAAGCATCAAATAAAGGATCATACATTTTATTTTACCATTTTCGTACAAAGTAAATGGATTCCAGTTGGTGTTGTAACACTATTTTTTCTAAATTATAAACAAAGATGTGGTCAAGACGAAAGACAATAATTGTTAATCATTACAATGTTTCACACATTGTGAACAAATTAGGTTTCGCACACATAAAACAAGCACAAGGAACCGAGTTTCGTTAAAGGTGTGTTAAAAACGTAATTTGCTAACTCCTTTGTCAGATAGACCAACTGTAAACATTCTGCATGATAATAATTCCATCTTCAACTGCGCAGAGCTGTAGTTGACTTGCTTGTTTCAGGAGGATGGAAAGTGAATTTTTTAATTTAAAAAAAATGAGTGATAAGTCAAGGATATGGTGTTATTAGCTGAGAGGAGGTAATTAATCCTAAATACCTTGTTTACATTGTATTTTATCATTTACAGTCAGCCCCCCCCAAAAAAACATGATGGGTGTAGATTTGCTGCTGGAGCAACTTATTAGGAGCCCCAATTTTCCCCTCAATAAAAACAAATAAATATATTTACTCTCAATTCAAATCAACTTTTATAACTAGAGCCCGGAAGTTTGGCAAAATACCTTTTTGTAATAATATTTCATGACTTTTGACATTAGGAATCACTTATTGTGCTTCTGGTGTTAATTTTAGTAATTTTCGTTTTGCCTATTTTAGCTTCTGATGCCTATGTTTACCATTTTGTCTTATTTTACCTTTAACTTCATTATTTTGCTTTTTCCCTCCAGGCAGAAATTTTGATCAAGCTAGATACATACCTGCAATCCTAGGCAACACAAAGGCGTGTTTGTGTTTTGTCTTTCTGTGAAAGCAGAAGCTGTATTAAAAATTATTTTTGATTTTTTCATCGATGTCAACAGGCTTTAATTGCAATTGAAGAATCCCATCCTACTTTTGAGTCTGGCCTAGAAACGTTTTTGAGGACAGCTCTCTGATATACCCTCCTCAGTACAGGTGATTACACAAGTGTGAAGAACGAAAAATATAAGTCGGTTTTCACTCATGTTGTTTCAAGATTCAAAACGGAGTCCACAATATCTTTTTGAAGAGACAGTGCCATGAATAAAACAAATTTGTAGCCACCATACCGAATGGTCATGTGGAACCAAGATTACAAAGAAAAGATTGTTTCTTTTCACATTAAGAGCTACTGTAAGATTTAGAGTTAAAATAGAAATGTGAATCATTTTAATTATTAATTTCTTATAATAGTTCTGTTTGTATGTGGTTTTTCATTGTTTACACACCTTTTGTACTCCTACTTAAGCTAGAATAGAAGCCTTTTTTCATGCCTATTTGAAAAGTAAATTGTGTTTTGCCTGCTTATTTGAGGTAAAATAAATGCCTGAACTTCTGTGCTGTATTTATAAGTTATGTCTTTTATATGCAGAAATGAATTCTGTTTATGGATTGGTGGGAAAGGACTTTTGTTTGAAATGGGAGGCCCAATGGGTCTACTACCCCAAGACTCATTGTTTCCTCTGAGTGCCCTTGTTGATATGTGATAAAAAATGTTGAAGACAACACATCTCATTTCACAGTAATTAATCAATATATTTGATTTACACATCCACTAACTTCATAATCTTAATTAATCATCTCTATTAACACTAATTTTGACTGCAACTGTTGGTGGCTGCTTAAGACAGAATTCACTGTACTTTAAAATTATTACTAAATGAAAGAATTCACAGATTCAACCTTGAAATAAAGAGTAATTTACCTATGTACATAAATAAATAAATTAAATAAAAAAATATTTACTTCTAAAATCATTCATGCTATAACATCGCATTCACTAAGTGAAGACATTCGACTTTTTCCCCCCTTTTAAATAAAATATGTTAAAATGCAATTATGTGGAAATTCTCTGAGAAGAACAAGGGGTTTGTGTTTTTAATTTTATCGCTGGACATCCCACCCACTATGGACACCTGCGATAACATCTAGTGTGCAATATAAAAATTGTAATTTGCTCCACAATAGTGAATCAGGAGGGCAATTACTGTGCTGCTGACCAATTGTTCATTATTATTTAATTTTCAGATTTAACTGAACCAACTTTCATATTCTAAATAGACCAGTTGTTTTTTAAAAAAATTTTAATCTCCAAGAGATAAAAAAAGATTTCCAAATTCAAAGTTCCATCTTAGTCCTAGTTTCCATCTTGAAAAAAAAAGGAAAATATCTTGTAACTTATTAATGTTTATACAGTATTTATGCATATGGAGTTAAACAAATTCTGCCATCTAGTTTATGAATGTCAGAAAGCACGAAGATAATTATAAAATAAATAAGAATCACTGGCAGGTTATCCTAGCAACAGCTGCAACTGTCTCAGCGCTGTGATGGCCAGGACAAGGGCAAGGCCATCTGCCCCTTAGCAGCAACCTTTGTCCTCCACTGTAAAGGAAACTAAAAGGAAATTGCTAGTAATACATTTAATTTCATATGAAGTGGCAGAAACAGATTTTTCTCAGTACTATTTTTCAAACATTAACAAATTAAATATTATTAGATTCGATTTTAAAATTGCAGATGTTTTAAAATTGCAACTGTTCGGTTTGATTTACAATATCAAAGATGGTTCAGCGTCCCCAAAATAAAAAATACTTCAAATAGCTATATGGCACATTACTGCCCACATACTTCAGTATTGTTGAGCATGCTCTACATTTTCATCTTGTGCACTGTTTAAAAACTATTAGGGATGTCCGTAATTGCTGAAATTCCTAGTACATATGTATATTGAAATTATATTAAGGGATGTTACAATGAAGAAACTTTGGGGCAGTGCCAAAATACAGAGCAGTAGCAGAAAAAAAAAAAGCAAGCAAGCAAAATTGGATGAAATTTTAATAGGCCCAAATGGGAAAAAATCATAATTTGTCCAAATTACTGAGGAGGTCAGATAAATAATATCTGTTATCTATAAGGCACGATTGACAACAGGTTACAAAAGTAAAAATCAATTTAGAAATTGAAAGTGCACCCGCCATTCACACTCTATAGGTGCTTTGATGCTTCCAAGGAAAATTCTTAATAATAAAGAGAAAACAATAATAAAATATATCAGGAAAATCTTAAATATATACATATATTAAAAGTTATACCTGCTCTGGTGAGAGAGTAAGGGCCACTTTTGCGTAAATAATAGATATTTATACAATTAAAAATCAAAACAAGAAAGGCAATAGTTTGTGTGAGATTCAAACACTCAGATACTGAAAATTATATTGCAAAAAATTAACAAGGTTTTACTGCACAGGATTTGTAGCTGCAAATGTAAAGATCGCAAGGAAACTTTATACCAATCATTGTATCGAGACAAAAGCCTGCAACTGATCTGAATGTGCGTTATGTAATGTTAATTCATCATCATTATCCAATACCTGAGATGTCATTGAAGAATCTTGTACTTCTACAAATTCAGTTGCATTTATATCAACTTCATTAACATCAATATTCATTCCAGATGCAGGAATTGTTAAATTCTGTTCACCTATTGTTAAAACTTGTTCTGAAGTACCATCTTCATCATCCGCTCCAACTAGCATTTGTGGATAATCCCTCAAGACCTGAAAATGAAGATGACATGTTATAAATAATTTACCTTATTTACTGAATGTCTAGCTTCCTCCAGTATCTCTTATTGCACTCTTTACCATTTTAACGGAATGGTTGCACATTAATATACCATGCAGGTACTGAAAGGATGCCAATGGCACACAGAAGGTAGTCTGTCTACCATTTTGGGGAGAGACAGG